GACAGGTCAGCGCAGCCCGCCCGCCACCATTGTCACTGCGGCGCACGCCTCAATGCGCACGCGCCGCGTCTGGGGCTGGCCGGACGCACTGCGCAGGCGCGGCCGGGGATCAGCGGGATGGACCTCCTCCTCTTCCCAGTCTCGCGCCAGGCCGGGCGCACTGCGCAGGCGCCAGCGGGGAGCGTTGGCGTCCAGTCCTCGTCCCAGTCTGGGGTGCATGGCGCAGGCGCAGGCTCGAGCGGAGGAGCACGTTTCCACCATCCCCCCTCTGCTGCTGGAGCGTTGCTGTCGCAGGAGCGCGCGGGCGGGTGGGAAAAGGTCAGGAGCCGGGAGAGAGGGGCGGGTGTATGGGGGACGGGGGTCCGGGCTCATCCCCACCGCAACCCCTGTCTTTTGGCAGATTGTAAACGCGAGGGAAGTTGCAAACACCTCTCAGCTTTTGGCTTAGTGCAAGCAAGTCCTAACCTGGCAGAGAAAAGGTAGCTGTGAGAAGCAGAGACTACGAACGGGCCTTGTGGAATGGAAAATCGGGCTCGGGCTCCCAAGCTTGCCCTTGTCACGTGCCCACCTTGCGCATCACACATGCGCACACCTCAGGTCTCACACACTTCACACCTCTTTCACACCCCTTCTCCCCATGTTTTGGCATATTGATAACTCCAGGGAAAGTATCCTACCAGGAAACACGATAGTTGGGGGAAAAATATATGCATGAGAGAAGCACAGAATCATACTGGGCCTTGTGGAAAGAAAGGGACTGGTCCAGTCTCAGCCACACACTTCGTTTCTTAGAAGGGTAGGGCAGCTGGTACGGGGTTTGCATTTTATTACTTCAAAATGGTGCAAGGTTGCAGGAGAGGGGCAAAATCCCTTTACTTAAATGATCAGCACTTGTCACTGTCATAGGCTGATTAATAGCTCAGAGCAGCTGAGGACTGCTGGATTTAAGGCAGGGTTTGTAACCCTACTGCTTTTCAAAGATGGTGATACACAACATGAATGGGAAACTTCCCTTGATGACTATATTACACCAATTATCTCATGCTGCAAGAAGCATATAAAAATGGGACTTGCTGTGTGTGTTTAAAAAAAACAAAAACTAGATGAAATGCTTTCTTCAGTGCAGGGTGGAAGAGAACAGCCAGTCTCCACTCCATCCGCAGGCTGCAAGGGACCAACAACAACACTGCTTCTTGGCAGGGTAGGGCTTTCTTCCTAATACTACATAGGCCGGGGGTAGGGAGCAGAATGATTTCCAAGTGGTTAGGGCAGCATGGTGCTTACATGAATCCCAATAAGCTCAAGCCAGCCATCTCTTAACTTAAAACCTGGGATGTCACAATAACATTATTACACACATGCCATTATGAAATAGGAGAACAGAGTAGCAGTTTCTGGTGGAGAATGAAAAAGGCTTCCAGCTTGTCTTTAACTATTGTCTCTCTCAAATCCTGCTCAGACATACAAAGCAGTTAAGTGCCAAGCACTTTTTTTTCTGGTTTTGTTATACATTTACCCTTGAACACATCTTTGTA